AGGTCTAGGGGGCAGGGGGGCACCCCAGCATGGGCCCTTGTAGGAAATTGGGATGTGGAGAGAAGGGGGGTGCTGTGTCCCCTACGGGTCATCCCTGACCCCATCCCCATCCCCCATCTCCACCAAGCTGCAAGCCTGTTGGGGGAAGTACTGCTCCGCGGGGTCCATCGCCATCCTGGGCACCCTCCACCCCAGCCCTGGGGGATGCAGCCCCCAGGCACACATTGCCCATCACAGGGGGATGCCCTGGGTTGGGGGGTGCCACTGTCAGACCCCAACTTGCTCTGACTGCTGCCTTCCCACCAGGCTCAGCCTCACAGTACGTGCCCACGGTGTGCAACGGCCGCGAGGTGGTGGACTCCACGACGTCCTCCTTGTGAAGGATGGGGGACCACTGTGGTGCCACCACTCCTGCCTGCGGCCACACTCCCCTTCCCGGGGAGAGCAGCACCCGCGGCACGGCCTGCTCAGGGGCCAGAGGCAGCCGGGGGGCTCGGCTCCCATCCCAGCACGAGCCACACGTCCCCGGCGCTGGGTCATGGTACGTGTCACCCTGCCCTTGCACTGAGCCAGGTTACATGGTCCCTGTCCCCTGCACTGAGCCCTGGTGAACGTCCCAGATCCCTTGAACTGAGCCATGGTGCACGAACTCCCCCTGTCACCTGCACTGAGCCATGATGCACTCCCCCATCTACTTCACTGAGCTGTGGTGCACATCCCCACGTCCTTCGCACCGAGCTGTGGTGCATGTCCCCTGTGTCACCTGCACTGAGCCATTGTGCACATTCCAACAACCCCTGCACTGAGCCCTGGCACACGTCCCCCTGTCCGTTCCACTGAGCTGAGGTGCACATCATCCCCCCATTCCTGCCCCGAGCCATGGTGCATGTCCACCCTGTCCCTTGCCTTGAGCCATAGTGCACAGACCCTGGCCCTCGCACTGAGCTGTGGTGCACGTCCCCTGTTCCTTGCACCAAGCCCTGGTGCCCAGCTCAATTCCTTCTTGCCGAGCCACACCAAGTCATGCTTTGCCTGCACTGAGCCACACTGCACCTCCTAAGCCCTGTGTGGGCACACGCTGCCCTCACCCCATCGCCCACCCCACCTTCCTGGTGTGGGGCCTTTCACGTCCCTCCCTGTGCCAAGCCATGCCCCACATCACCCCTCTCCAGGTCAGCAGAGCCCTCCTGGGGCCCTTTGCAGTTTCACCTTTTCCTCCTCGTTTTTGGCCCCAGGAGAGCTGCCGAGAGCTGCTGGGCTGGGCCCAAGCCCCCTCCATCGCGCCCCTCACTGTGTGTAGTGCTTCTCACCCCTCTGTGGCAGATGGGGCAGGAGCAGGAGCGAGCACCCCCTACCCCTCCAGCCCCTGCAGAGCCCAGGGGGCGACTGAGGGCGAGTAACAGGACCCAGGTATTTGAGCCCAACCAAGTTTTTAAGCGTAGAATTTTTCTGTGAGCAAGAGTGTGATTTTTTTTTAATTTATGTAAATAAAGTGGTTTTGGTTTGTTTGTTTGTTTGTTTGTTTGTTTAAAAAAAATGCATTCTTCCAGAGCTCAGGTCTGGCCGAACCTACAGGAAGGGGCAGACTGTCACGGAGGCAGAGCCAAGTCACAATAGGGGGGCCAGCAGGGTCGAGGGCCACGCGACACCCCGGGCTTGGTGGTTGCACCAAGGATGCAGAGCACAGCTCCAGGGACAGGGTTTTGGTGACTCAGCTCTGCCGGCTCCAGGGCAAGGGGCTGGAAGCTGCCGGGGTCTTCGGGGCTGGGAGCTGCGGGCCGAAGGGGGGGATGCAGATGCT